TGCTTAAAGTTATCATATAAATATATACTGATGGTTCAAATTTAATTATTCTTAATTATTAAACACAATATGAATAATGAGTATAAATCAGAGTATATTAATTACACTAATTTTTTTTAAAATCTGTTTGGTGACCTACTCAGATGTCTCATAGACAACACTGAAATAAGTACCATGGCGTCTGCAAGTCATGATCACTAATTAAAGTGTGTGTAATGTAGAATGTTGTTTGGCTTATCTTTTAATCAAATGCATATATCTAAATTCTTATTTATTTTCTCCTATACCCTAAATTCGAATATAACGAAAACAGACTTATTAACAGTGAAAAAAAAGATTTGTTTCAGTGTTTTAAGTTGCACAAGCATACATAAAAAGCATTAAACAAAATATTAGGAAAAAAATAAAAACTTAAATAAACATCTAAATTATTATCCACAAACATTATTCAGTCTTTTTTAAGACATGGTAAGTAATCTGCTTCCTAATTCTACGCAACTTATACGATGATTCTATTCTTTTTTTGTAAATCAATCTATGAGTAAAATGATCAGGGTGCGTTGTAATAATAATACTTATATTAATTGTAATAAAAATAATTATTGTTATGATGGTTATAGTGATGACCATAAAATTACAAATAGAAGTAAAAATAATATTAATAGTCGTAAGAAAATTAACAAATGATACTGGTTATGACAATAATAATAATAATAATAATAATAATAATGATAATAATAATAAGTATAATGATGATAACAATAATGGCAATAATAATAATCATAATAATAATAATAATGATAATAACAATAATTATTATTATTTCTGTAATGCTAACGATTATGAAAACTGTAAGAATTATGTTTCATTATCACAGCATAAAGTATGCTAAATATTTTGCACCGTTTCAATTTTTAATCGTTGAAAGCCATCGTGACAAGCGAAAGAAAGCTTGTACAAAAATTATCACTGCTTCACAAAAAAAAACGAAAAAATTTTGTCTGACCATACCTACTATATGTTTTTGAGACTCATAACCTTCAAAATCACTTAATATCAAAACCAATAACTATGAAGAACCGTTACAACAAGACTTTTTGGAGTTTGTGGTCACAGGATTACAAAAAAATCTATTTTCTCACGCTCTACCAATATGACGATACAGTGCAAATGTCCAGAAATACTGGCATACGCTCATGATCGTTAGGGAGCGAGGTCTTAGGAATAATGAGTATGTAAGACAACAGCTTATGGGATTTATAGGTTTTCGTGAAAAGGCTAAAATAGCGACCAGTTTTTTTTTATTTTAAGCAATAAAGGGATTAAAAATTAAAGGGATTATTTTGGTGTTTGGACTAAAATGTGTAGGTTATGTAAAACCTTAAGGTAATAGGGGTTGATAAACCTGAAATTAAGATTCAGTGGCCTCGAAAGTATATAGTCAGCTTGGTCGGACGTTAGATCAAATTTTTATGATTTTTTATGGATTATTCTCGTTTTTAAGCTAAGACTTTGAGGTTATAAAAAATCCTGACGGGATGGAGTTAAATAGACCTTCGATTCGGATTCAGTGACCTCATAAACATATAGTTGGTATGGTCAGATGTCAGATCAAATTTTTTCGTTTTTTTTTGTGGAGCTGTGTTATCAGCAAAAAAGTTTTGGGACCATATAGGACAATTTTTTTAAAGTGCCTTTGTTTTTCGAGAGTTACTGTACAACCTATTTTAATTCCGTGTTTCTTACGTGGTAGTAGGCCTTGTAAGCGTTAATTTTAATAGAGTTGTTTTTACTCACGCTTGGTGGATTACTATGGCAGTGGGCACTCATCGTGAAAGTAGGCGTAGCTTTATTTGGTGGCTATCCATACCTGGCACCGTTGCACCTGCGCTGGTTTTTGCTCAGGATAACAATTTGCAAGAATTAAACATAGAGTTAATACAAAATTTTTAGCATACTTTCAAGTTCTTTAGAGGCTTTTTTGTGCGCATTTTTCTTGAATTACTCTTTACTTTCTGTCTATTAACGCTTTCGCTTAGTTGGCAAAAAACCTACTTTGGAAACTTTTGCAATTATTTTTGGTCGATTTCTAATATTTTAAGAAACTTAATTTTATATTAGTAAGCTTTTAATACCTCAATTTAGCTTTTGAAAAAATTCTTTCTTATTAATGGGACTAAAATTAATTCTATCAAGCTATAGAAAATTACTAAGCATTTGTGTCAAACACGTATCTTTAAGTAAAAAGTTCGAAATAGCAGGCCATTAGTCTGGCATCTCACATAGGCAAGTCTTACAGTGAAAGCAACGAGAAAAAAAGCAAAAAAAAAAGACAAGGCTAGATAAGAAATGGCTACTGTTGCAAATATGTCTAAAGAAAGACTGTAAAACACAAAAAGGCATATAGTAAGTATATAAACCAATGACATACCAGGGAGGGGTGTGCAGAGGTGTTTACGAGTGACAAGTGTGCCTGATACAAATTAAATAGTACCATATAGGCATGCATATGATGGATTACCAAGAAAGATAGGGCATGAAGAGAAATAGTATATTTAAAATAACAAACATTTAAAACTTAATTTAGTGAAAAAAAGTTGAAATTTTCAATTTTAAAGATATTTTAAAGGAAAACAAAATCAAGTCTTTATTTAACATAAAAATTTTAAAATATTCTCAACAATATCATAGAACAAGTTTTAAGAACAATAAAGATAAGCTTAAAAATTAAGACAACAATTATGAATAGCCTCTGAAAAAAATTTTTGTGAGCAATCTAACCAAAACAAGCGTAAAATTTAAATAGTAGATTAATTGACTTATATTATAATGATAGTAAGAACTTTGAAAATAAGTAGTTTTCATCAGACAAGTGCCATTGTTGCCGGAACTATTTTACGTATACCCAAAGAACCTGCAAAGGAGGGTCTGAAGAATGTAAGGTAGCTGCAGTGTGATAGCTTTTATGTGGCTATTTCTATTGTTTTATTTAACGAATTTAGACCAATTGATAAAACGGAGTACAAAAAACGAGATTTTCTTGGAAACTGCCACAATCAGTCCCAAGAAATGATCAAGAAAAGTTACAGTTGTAATGAGCACCTTTTATCGTTGGATGTATTATTTTATTTGTTATTAATTATTTAAAAAAGGTAAAATCGTTGATCTCAATTGTTTTACATATATTTTAATACCAAATATCACACTCAGTATCTACTACAAAATTTGGGCCTAATGGTACCATCCATCGCTTACTATGTGGCCACTACTAACAACAAGTACTCAAGAGGCTTTTAGCGTACAAGACGTCCTGCTTGGCAGCTCAAAAGTACCTACCCAGATTGACCGATCCTTAACAATTGCCAAGTCTTTGCTAACTTGAAAAAACTTACATGGCAGTGGATAGGGTCAGTGACCATTCAATAACTATTATTTCACAATGTTACCACAAACTTGCTGTGTTATCTGTTTGTCTTACCCACTACCCACTACCACTCACAACTGTCTACATCTTTTGGTAATATCGTCCAGGCACCAGAGAAATCAAATGTCATTACACTGGCCCCTGAATCATCTTATTTACCACGTATTACTACCTAGGTATGTACGTTCTCCAGCGATAGCTCCGATACCAACAGAAACTACTCCCCCATCAAGTGTCCACTTGATTTATTAATCATTACAGTGAATTTAATACATAACTTATATAATATATGAAATTCCTTGGTACTGCTCCAGCACAGTATCCTCTTTGTTTTTTTTAATTATGACAGCCAATTTAATATATAACATACATAATATACACAATTTCTTGGTGTACCTATGGTTTAGCGTAAAAAAATAGCTTAACCCAACATATATGACGTCCACCAACAGAAGTAATATTTTTTTCCTGTTTGAATATTTGTGTGTGGTCGATGAGGCTCCATCTGTTTCTCAAACTTGTCTCGTCACACTTCTACGCAACTCGATACTTACTCATTTATTATAAATTCATTACACGCATACTGTGACAAACATCCCAAATCTGATTTTTATATTTTATTTGAAATATGTGTATTGGTCCAACGCTGATACCAGTAGCATGGATTCTTTACTACACTTCAATGAATACACGTATTTTTTGGAATTTAAGTACGAAGGATCTAAAGAATTATTTTTAACTATTTTGATTTTAGAGCGCGCGGTGGCTCAGTCGGCTAGGTCGTGGATTGGAGGCCTCACATTTCTCTTCCCTTCCGTCTCCCAAGTGGTAAGTGCCCATAGTAGTGCCCTTATTAAAGGAGCTGGACGTAGAGCACTCTAATATTAAAAAAAAAAAAAAATTATTTTGATTTCAATTATTCAGAAACTGATTTGCAAAGAACAAACACAAATTACAGGTTTCTTAGCTTTATTATATTAATCACTTTATTTATTAAGAATTATAATATTTCTTACCTTTTAGGAAAAGTAATTGCAAAATAAACCCTCGGTAAATCAAAAGAATCGCTTGTTTTTACAATCACATACTAAAAAGCTTCGATAACATACGAAATCATAATATTCTGAATCAACATTAAATAACAATGATACTGAAAAATACATGTAGCTGTTTATCATACGCTCATAAGCTTATACACTATATAACAAATCACTGAAGCATTAGTTCATCACGTATTATTAATCTTAAGAAATGTTTGTTTCAAGATAAACTTAAGTATTAAAAAATAAATTAAACAATTTTTCTTTCGATAGTTTTAATACTTTTTCACAACACTGAATAAGACATGCAGTTGAGTAGAAATATACCAATTTCAATATAAACGTGATTATATTATGTCAACTGTCAGTGTATTATATCACTTTTATTGCGCGAAGGTAATGGTAACACAGGATTTATGCTTAAGAATCTTTTGGAGTAAGATGAAAAAATGTTTTGTTTTAATAAGAAAAATTAATATTTTTACATGATGTTGTTTTTAACAATTGATCATGCACTAATTTATTCACATTTTTAGACAGAGAAGCAAAAAACTGAGATCAACGTGGAGAGTAAAGTTGGATCGCTAGACAATTTTAAATACAAGCCTAGAGGAGGTGAAACAAAGATTTTGCATGATAAAGGCTATCTGCGGCAAACCTCGTCCAACGTTGACAGCATTTCTGGCAGTTGCTCCTAGGTAATTCTTGTACTTTCGAACTTTTGAAATTTAGCTTTTTTTTTTTCAAAAGTAAAGATCCATTTGTTTCATATTATCAGTTTATGCACCCTATTAAAAAGTGTCCCATTGTGGAGTGTCACATGTTGTGAATGCTGACTAGCCAAAACTCTTGTCTTCGACCAGGCTGGTTTTATTTAGATATCCTTGGCAACACTCTCGTACTATAACCGCGTGGGTCCTATCCATCTGAACGATACTACAGCTAGGTATTACAGATTTTTGTCATCGTCACTTCTCGTGACGATACTTATACAAATAGAAATGGAAGCAGGACACACTCAAAATGATCAATCAGGAGCTAAAAATATTAAAATAGAAAATACATTTAAAATTAATAAAACAAGCAGTGCAATCGTTAACTTGTATATGTGCTGGTATATGTGCGACAAGATTGCGTTGCAATATTGCGAAGCAGGCAGACGTCTGTGGGCCAAGAGAGGGTCAGTGCCTTTTAGAAACAAATTGCCTGGGGACAGGTACTGACAAGAATTGAAGGTATCCATCTCAGCTGCTCAGGAGCTGGTTATTATACAAGATAGACCCAGTAGGTGTTCCTACTGGCAGTACTCAAAGACCTCAGTAGAAGCCGCTGATCGTAAGCGCAACCGTTGGGTAGCTTGATGAAGCAGTCCCTGCTGTCTCTCACAGCACTTAAAGTTGCTTGTCAGCAGCATTGTTCCTAGCTCTAATTTCAAGCAGAAGTGTCTTCTCTCTTATGGGACTCGTAGTTCCTATGTTGAGCTGTAGAAAGTGTCAGAAGGCTTCTGGGGCACGTACTCACAGCAAAATAACAAAAAAGGAACACGAATCGGGTCATCACAGCAGTTACAAAAAAACTCTCGCTTCTTATTTTAAAAATCTTGCCTCATCTTGATCTTACCTCAAGTCTCAACAAATTGTAAGACTTTAAAGACTCTGGGAAGTCTTGAGTAAAATATCGATCTTAAAGGTCTCAAAGAATATTTTTAAGACCTTTGAGACTTTTGGGAAGTCTCAGTGGTCTCGGGAAATATTTAAAAAATTCCAAAGTTCTTTAATGATTAGTAGAAAACTTTGACTGTGATCACATACGTGTCAATGAATTACAAAAAAACTTGCACGATACAGTTGTACAGGTTTACATGTGCATTCCACAATTTATACGACCGTTATCATTGGCCTCGTTTTTACTAAGCGGCAATGAAAAAGACGATTCAATGCAGTCTTTGGCTTATAGCCTTTGCTATGCAGGTCTCATTTGCTCGCACAGATTTTTTTGTCCTGTTTACTGATGCTCCGTCAAAACACGGCTGAATACACTGATCACGAATATTGTGAAATGCATATGTAATGTGTACTTAAAAAGCCAAGAACCATAGAACTGTATAGTAAGCTTTATCGCTATTTATGTACACACACGTGATCACAGCCTCAAAGATTAATAGACATTTTGCTGACTGCAATTTTGAAATGGGAGTCTACTTTTTGCCACTGTTTTGTACACCCTGTCGTGACCAAGTGGCTAAACCAGGTGAATGTATAATTTTATTATATTTTTGTTATTTACTTTTTTTTTTTATTCGAAAAGCATAAAAGAGGTATGCTGAGTGGTAGCCTACGAATCGATGAGTAAACAAGAAGATAGGCTTACACTTTACAAACACGATGAAGAGGTAAACCAAATGTGCACCTATAGGTATACAAAAAGAGGTGAAAAAATTGACTATAGATTTATAGCTATTAGTGCATACAGCAAAAGCAAGTGACGACTGTGACAAGTCTTTCTCAATATATTTTAATCAGATTTTACAGATTTATGGAGAATAGAGAAGAACAAGTTAAATAGATCTTATGTTGATAGAATAAGAACACAAAATTCCAATTTCCAGGCATTTATTTTTTATTCTTTCTATACTTTTGATTTCTTATAATATGATGTATTAACCATAGTGTGCTTAAGAGTATTAAGCTCAAACTGTTTTTTGATTAATTACTTAGCACAAAACTTTCGAAACATGTATTTTTGGCCTCTTGTTGTAAAATTTGTTTGATATAGCAAAATTCTGATTCAAGATCAAATTCTTTATAAGTAAAAATATTGAAATTTAATGTCTTTAACAGTGGATTATGGAATTGAAGCATTTACTATTTGAGCAGTCATTAAATAAATCGAGATAAATTTTCTGATTTCCAAGTAAAGTGATGCTAACTTATACGTACTTTTATAGAGCTCCCTATTTAGACTGCAGAGATTAGCAACATTTTGAATTAGTGGCTGTCAATGACTAATTACTAAATGTTAAAATTTAGATCCGTAAAAAATTTTAGTTAATAAAACAGAAAGCAGTTTCTTAAGAATTTTAAAACTGTTTTTGTATTCTGAACGAGATGTAATACAACTTTTTAATTTTACACTGCTACAAAAATAATAATGAATAGGACTTTATAATCGATAAGTAACTAAAATTATTTTACAGTTTTTGAGACATAAAAGATTTTTTGAGATACTACAGTATTTTCTTGATAAAAAAATGTACTGACCTATTGGAATTAAATGATAAAGTCGTTTTTACGTTACACAGATACACGATGCAGATCAAAAAGTAAGCTTCATGATTTCTTGTAAATGCAGGAAAAGCAGTAATACTTTTAACATTAATTTATTTAATCATCGTAAGAATCTTTCCAAAGTTAATGGTAAGTGAGAATTTTTTTAATCCAAACGGCTAGACAGACTTTTTTTAGATATTTCGGCCAATAAGAGACTTTTTTAACTGAGTCACAAAAAAGATCACTTTTAAATAAATACAAATTTTCTCTGATCTTAAATCAGGGCCTACTGGCTTATTGATAAACTGATCAAGCATTAATCACTAACACAAGGGCCAAAAAACAAGCTAAAACACACTAACACAAGTAACTAAATAACACAGGATACCTTCTGGCAAAATTATTCATTAATAGAAAATCAATTAATAATACAAAAGCAACGTAAACACCAGGTATTCTTGAGCACTTATGGGCCCAATAATGAAACTTATAAATTAGTAATTAAAACTAATAAATCTGCCAGTAAGCTTTCTATGTTATTCAGTAATTATTTGTTATTGATTTGATAATTGATCGATGCTTATGGTATTTAATAGTGCTTAATTAACTTATAAGATGTACAGTAGGCTCTCCATGCAATTAGTAATTCACATTAACACTATATGTTAATGCTTCATCAATGACATTTGTTACCAAGTTACTTTTGAAGGAAAAAAATTTTGTAAGAAAAGGCTAATTCTTACCATTAAGTTTGAAAAAGCTCTCTTTTGCATTTTACTCTGAAAAAAGTCATAAATTTAGATTTAGTTTCCTTGTTTCAATAGAAAGTTAAAAAGTTAAATCCTATAATTGAGACTGCAATTTGAACTGTGGCCATCTGTCAAATAATTGTGCCTTATATGCAATACAATCTATTTAATAATAATGATTATGAAAAAGTACTTCCATCCATGCACCACAAGGCAGTTAAGTCTTTTTTTTTTAATAGTAGGACAGTCGTATAACCAGTTCCTTTTAATTTAAACACATGACTTAAGATTTTTTGTTGATAATGAATTTTATTATTTACTACGCAAGTACTTTGAAACTTAAAATTGCAATAATTGTTAAACAATTGTCTTAAATCAACGTGAGCTACAAATTCATTCTGTTTTGGCGAAGAAAATAGAGCCCATCAAATTTTTATGACAAGTAGCTTTACTTTGAGATTCTAAAAATGATTTTTATATTACCTTTTTAAATGTTATGAAATTGAAAATGCTAAACTTATTACAAGAAAAGTATTACTTTAAATGATACAAACATTGCCAGCTAAGATAAATAACTAGAAAATCTTACGAAATTTCGTGTGCAAGCTCGTATGCACGCGTGTGTGTGAGTGTCTAATCAGTCACATCTTAGATTGATGATTTCTAGATATTGTAAAGTAGGTCCTAGCTTCATTAGGGTAAAAAATTTAATAGTAATATCATACATAAATGAATGTTTAATAATTTCTTTATACATAATACAATTTTATTTTCAACAATGTAATACTGTTTTTTCAAATAAAAAAGTTATATCTGAAGCTACCGATAAAAAATTGAGCCATGCAAGGTTTTAAATATTTGTTTACTTTTTCTCACAGTAGTTTTGGTTAGTAAGAAGTAGTTTTGTATTTTATTAGGATTCATACAGAAATTCTCTTATTTGTAATTTTTATTGCATTTTTAACATGATTTTATCTTGTACAGCGCTAAATAGCTACATTTTTTATTTCTACGCATGTCATTTTTTTTTTTTTTTTTTCTCAATGTTTTATATACTCACTAAAGCTTTCAATTAAAAAAGGACATTGGATTTTTTTTTGCAGTATTTAAATCATAATTTCCTTCCTTGTTAAGGTTTAATAAATATTTAGAAAACGCTCTGTTCAGTCTTTGTAAGGATCTTTAATCTCTAATCCACATTCTAGAGAAGAACTGCAGAACCTGTATTAATTTATGTATAAGTATGCAGTATGTTACCAATGTTATAGTCACAATGTATAAATTAGAAATATTAAAACAAGCAAAACAATATTTACGATGTATGAAGATAGTATTAACACATAATTAGATGTGTTTTGCGGTTTGCTTGTAACAACCGCTTTGAATATTATTGAAATGAAAGTACGTTTTCTTGTGCCTTGAGATGATTTTTTTTATAAAAAAGAAGTTAATAGTTTTTTGAAAGTTTTAAAACGTATAAATTGCGTTCATATTCTTAAAACCTATTTAATAAATATTATAATTACACAAAAGCCTTGCAAACCAGAACTATTAACGAAATTAATTACTTAATAAAATAAGGTTTGAAAATCAATTATCTCAGACGTATCAGAAAATAAAGTATTGATAAGATTAATAAAATTAAAAAAGAGATATACTAAGACATTAAAGCAGAATTTT